GAAAAAAAATCCTTCCCGCCAACCAAAATGGATCACCCCAAAATAAGAGGAAAATGACAAAAACTAGACTGTCAGGTGTCAGCAATGAAATCCACAACCTTTATTGGAACTTATCCAATAACTATTTAAGGGGATTTATGATATTTAATTAATAATAACTTTTTCATAGCAAAAAAAATATGTCTTCCACTTTTTCATCTCTTATACCAAATATAAAGAATGGAAAAAAAGTATTTTTTCCTTCAAGAATGAAAAACTCATTCTTCCTATTTTTTTCATCTTTTCACTTTTCCGTCATTTTTACCAAATAGACCATTAGATCTTTTCATATTTATTGTATTTGCTACTCCCTAATCCTATATTTATTGAATCTACATTACACAATTATTTATAAGAGATCCCACCAAACCAACTTTTGAAGTCAAAACTAAGATCCTATTATGTACTCTAAACACTGCACTGAAGAATAGATTTAGTTCCACGGAACGATCATAGATATAGAAAATTAAACTCAAATATTAAGGGAATAAATCCGAATTATTAGTCATTGAACTAACAGTTTCGTGGTCATGAGAAAATATTTACTTTCAACGCAATTTATCCACGACTTATATATCTCACTACGTAGCAACTCATGGTTGAAAATTTCATTTTCAAACTTACCAAGTTTACTATTTTTCAACACACTTTTCATGTACCTTACTTATCTTCAATTTCAATACAAAATTTTTGATTGTGGAAAAAATTGATGACATATCATGTTTGGTAAGAAAATATACAAAAGAGAAAACAAATGATTCTTTTTTTAAGTGATAGAAAATGTATTACTCATGTTTTTTTTCATCTTTTTATCGTTCTATCTATTATTCTAAATTCTACTCAATTCAACAAAGTCTTATTCTAATATTTTTTGGGTCGGTTACATGAATTCTATTTTGCCGTTATACTTTATCATCGTCGGTCATGTTTTCTATTAAACTATGGATTATCATGTTTTTCTTTATTATTTCACTTAAAGTTAATTTTGGTCTACGTTTATTTTCAATAATTATTATATCATTCTTTATTAGCAGTGCCGTAGTAAACCGTCTATAGATATATCCAAACACGTAAATTGATTCTTCCTTAATTTATTCCTTATAGGAACTATTACTCTACTTTTTCACGGATAATATACTTCTCAATTTTATCTTTCTTAGTTTTACCACACATTCATTTTAATATTCTTATTTTCGCTGCAATTAATTTGTAAACGTGTTCTTTCTTACCCGTCCAACACTCTGTTCCAAACTTCCATCATATTATATTAGTAATAGTGAAATTTTTTATAGAAGGATTTTTTGCACTTTACATCCTGAAAGAATTTAAATTTTTTATTTTATATATTCAAATATTAAATTTATCACATTATATTCTCAATGTATTAAAAGTATTATAATGTGACTCTTTTATTATCTTCTGTTATATTTTTCTTTAAAAGCCAATCCAATGACAAAAAAAACTAATGAAAATCTAACAAAGTACAAAGTAATGCAATGCTTTTAATACATTGAGAGTATAATATAAAGAATTTAATCTTTGAAAATGAAAAATAAAAATCTTGAAATCTTTATGAAATTTGCCCTCCAAAGAAAGGCAAGCCATGTTCTGTGATCATTTGTCCTAGTCATACGTTTGATTTGTATCTTACAATAAATCAATTGACTTATTATTGTAACAACCCACTTGCAACGCGCCAGATATCTAATTGTCCTAAATAACTCAGTTAGAACTGCATATAAGAAAATTATATAGGACATTAAACTTAAATTTGTTAAGTAATCCCACAATTTCACTATATAAATATAAATATTCAAATTAAAGCGTAATCTTTTTTTTTTGATAATTAAAAAAGAGGTGGGGGTAAGAAAGAGCGTCCATCGACTACCCCATTAGGGCCTCAACAGAGGAATTATAAAATCTCTGACTGTGCCTGAAACATCTCTCGAGACCACATCTAACTAGGCTAGCATAGCGGCCAACCATCAAACCCTATTGAGAACTTCAGGACTCAAACTCTCAACTTCTGGATAAAGAGTAATCAGATGGAAGGTTGTCATCCCAAATAACTCAATCATATAACTTAAATTATACATGACATTAAACTCAATTATAACTATACATGACATTAAACTCAAATTAGTTAAATAATCACCGAATTTCACTATATAAAAATACACCAATCGGGTCAGATCCTAATTGGATCCAATGTTAGCATAGCATAACAAATTCGAATCTAGATAATCAGAACAACCATATCATTATTCCACAAAACATTGTAATGAAATTAGGATTTTGACCAAATTCAAATAAAAATATGAATTTAGGAGGTTCTTAAATTGTCTCATTTTAGTTTCTAATATTTTAAGTACATTATATTGGTCCCTAAAGTATTGAATATGTTTTTATGTAATCCCTAAAATGGACAACATCCAATTTATCAACAATTTTTTTTTATTATAAATTTATCACGTGATATCTAAATATGAGTAAAAGATAATTTGGGTAACTCTTATAAAAAAATGTGTAATATGGGTAGCTCTTGACCAAAAGTTAGATAACTCATAATTAAAATTATGTAATTTAAGTAACTCTTTAAGTAAAAATTTGATTAAGAGTTATTTAAATTATTTTTTTATTCATATTTAAGTATTTTGTGATAAATTTATAATAAAAAATTATTAAAAATCTGAAAATTGTCTGTTTGAGGACTACATAAAAATATATTTAATACTTCATGACCTAAAATAATACAATTAAAAATATTAATAACTAAAATAAGATAAACCCCATATTTTAAAAATCTCTAATGCAATTAACCTATGATTTATTAACAAACCTAAATGATAAGGACCACTAAACACCCATGACCTCGCAACTATCAATCAATGCTTGCCCTTAATCTTTGATTATACAGGTAGAATTGTATTTTACTCAAAATCACAAGAAATAGAAAAGTATATAAATAAATAGAGAGAAATTGGAGAAGTAGTCCAAACAAACTTGGTAGTCAACTTTGGTGACCTAATTTCTTATTATTATTATTATTATTGTGGACCACGAGCCTAGTCCTTTTCTCTTTTACATGCCCTTTCTAGTTTTTGTTCAACAAAATATCTAATGACCTATTCATTCATTATAAATGCCCACTTGCCTCTGTATACCCTTCATGGTCAACTACAAATTATTAAAGTATTAGCCATAACTCGTGTCTGAAGGCACAATAAAATATAAAATTTGAACGTCCAAAAAATCGATTCTATTATATTAAATTTTTTAAAAATATATTAACTATAAATTAATTAAATATTGAATAATTAAATATATGATATAAATGATTGGTGTGATATTTTTAGAGAAGAAATATATAAATGATTAAATATGTGATAGAAATGAGTGATGTAATTTGACGTTTGAGTCTGACAAATGGATGATGAGTGAGGTAAGTGATTGATGATGATTTTGAGGAAAAAAATATGACTGAGATAAAATTCAAACACACTCTTATTTTATTATATAAATATCAAAATGATATATTTTTTTAGGAATTTTTAAAATAAGATTGATATACCACTCCCACTCCCATAGACCCTCTTAAGACATCCTCTTAAACTTTTTGGTACATCGTTGTACTTCCTTAAAATTAATGAGAAAAGTTATGGTACGAATGAGAGGTGATAATTTTGTACTCAACACAAAAATATGATTTGAAATCGACATATAAATTAGTGAGTTATTATTTGTCATTTCTTAACGTGAATTTGTATATGACACGACTCGTTAACATGAATAATAAATGGATTGAATTAATGTCAAACACAAAAATCACATGAAATTAATATGATTAACATGTTTAAGTAGTTATTTTTTTTATAATATTTTATCAAATAGTGATTTAATTCTTGTAAAAAAAAGATATTTTTATTTATTATTATTATTATATTTATTAAGTTAATTTTTAGTTTATAGAAAAAGTATGAAAATAAATTTGATTAGATGATAATGAAATTTTAGATATAAAATTGAGTATTAAATTTTTTATTCACGAGTTATATAGATCAACAAGAACACGACATGATATAATTAATTAAACAAGTTAGGTTATGATTGATTAATGCTTGATATGAACCAAAAATAACATAATACGAACACGACACATTGTTACCTCTAACCGTTGGAGTTATTGTACTCAAAATCACAACTTTTTAAGGCTAAATTACAATTTTTTTGATATGTAAGTTACAACTTAAGACATGATCTATCATGAAAGATTATGAACGATATCAAAAGCTCATTATCGAACATGAGTATCTATGATTGAACATAATTTTTTCTAGAGCAATTGTAAATTTATCATAAAAATAATTATCAAAGATACGATACCAAAAACAATAAAAAAATTCAGTACTATATATCTTGCAATTACAATCAGTTCTGTCCTTCAACTAAAAACTTGTAAAATCTATAAAATTTCAATCACATTGCCCAAACAACCCTTTTTCTTTTTCCGTCCAAAATTAATCTGAAAACCAAACGATCCTTTCTTTATGATCATTTTCTTCTCCCCTCTCACAAATTCACACACAATTACATATACATACACATACACATACACCACACCACACTACACCCCATCCCACCCCCGCAAAACAGCAAAAACAATCACCCCCAAGTGTGTTACCACCATTGCAATAACTCGCACTGAACCACTAAACACCCATGACCAATTTCACAACCAATAATATCATTATAATAATATTACATCACTTGATCCATTTTGTTGGTTTCGTTTTTTGATTAGTCTGACATTACTCTCTCCCTCAATCCTGTTGTTACAAGTCAAAAAGTGATGGGGGTTGCAAATAATATTTTCAGAAAATCTGGGGGCATCCCGTAATTAGCGCAATCTACATATTAACTTCATCAAGACAACCCCCCTAAACTGCCGTTATCCATTCTTCTCCCTCGTCTCCTGTTCTTTCTTACCATTTCAAAGTCAAGAAACCGTGGGTTTTCCAGAAATTAAATTGACAAAATAATAAGTTAATTCCGTGTCTAAGTACTACTTCTTTGAAATAAATGGTCTCGCAAACTATCAAGACTCCACCGGTACCAAACTAGTTTTTTCTCTTGAACAACTATTATATAATTATCTGAATCCAAAATCCTTGAGAAATATGTGCATGGTCTTCAAACCCAGATTTTGAGACAAGTATTGATACCAGAAAAACCTCTCTCTCTCTCTCTCTCTCTCTCTCTCTCTCTCTATTTCTTCAAGTTCTTTTTGACCTGTGTGGATTCTGAAGGGTATTGGCTTGCGGGTGAGTGAATAATGGCGGGGGGAGGTGATGGAAAGTTGAGGGAGCTTGATCAGACACCCACATGGGCGGTGGCGGGTGTCTGTGCAGTCATCATCCTTATCTCTATTGCCTTGGAGAAGATTATTCACAAACTTGGACATGTACGTTACTACTTCAAGCATATCAGCCTTTCAACTGTATTTTTCATTTCTGCAGCTATACCTTCTTAAATTTTGCCAAAAATGGGTTCTCTTGGGTAATATTATGAAGATAGATCATGGGTTTGTTTCAATTTTGACCCATGGCAGATAATATATAAGTGTATAGGTATTTTTTCCTTACCCAGATTAGTGGGTGAGTTGATGTTATTTCTTTATGTGGACGGCTAATTTTGGCTTCTCACAGGGATTTTATGGAAGGGCCTTGCTGAAAGTTTGATTCTTTTATGGTGCCTTTACATTATTTAGTTTTATAATTTTGGCTTCATGGTGGATCCGACAATGGTTTACGTTGGTTGTCAGCTACTTAATGCAACCCTCCTCCTCAGTCAAATCCAACCCAAATGATTGGGATATAAGGCTTGATTTGATTTGGTTTAAAATTTTGGCTTCATCTTTTTTGATTGTTTTTGGAACTCTTTGAGTAGGTTGTTCTTCTGCTTGCCTTTTCAATTTAGATTTTTTTTTGGAATTCTTTTCTTTCCTTTTTTTTATGTGTTTTCTTGATATGTTAAGTTAGTAAATTCCTTATTTTCAGTTCTATTTTAATTATCTTCCTCCTAATTTCTGATGAAATTAGTTCAAGTTGTTCAATTTAAGATATTTTGATTAGTTTCTTTTCAGTTGTTACTTACAACTGTTATGATTAGTTATGAAATTATGACAATATCAAAATTTGTATGCAGTGGTTTACAGAGAAGCGCAAGAAGGCCCTATATGAGGCTTTGGAGAAGGTTAAAGCCGGTAAACACATCATTTGTGTCTCTTCTTTTTTCTTGTTTGCCCCTTGTGCAATAAGAAAATGATTTTGATCCTTAACGGACGTCCATTGAATTATTGCAGAGTTGATGATTCTCGGTTTCATTTCACTAATCCTGGTATTTAGCCAATATTACATCGCGGATATCTGTATTCCCGTTAAAGCTGCTGATACCATGTTGCCATGTCCTAAGCCTGACAAACCTGATTCCAAATACAATGAAGAGGAAAATCGTCGGAAGCTTTTGTGGTATGAGCGTCGAGAATTAGCCGGTGGTAAATCTTCTGGTTGCAAAGAGGTGAGTGTAGTATGATCAGCTTCCTTGTTGAAATTTTAGCTTTCAATGGACAATATCACTGCTAGTGATACATAATAACGCTAAATATGGTAATTTGATGGGCATCTCTATCTGTCTTGTTCACCCATATAATGTGAGAGTCAAAGGAACATCTTTGCTGTTGATTAGGTTTGATTAATTTTTCTAATGTCCAACTAAAGGGCAGACATTGCTATAGGCACAATAGCAATATAATCATCAAGTGCTTACCACTTCTTGAACTACTACTGCCTTGCTAATAAAATTCAGTGCTGATAATACAATAGTGGGTGCATAATTATAATTTGACTTTAACTGAGAGAAAGATTAAATTTAAGCAACAGGTTTCCATCACTTTGCAAGAACTACAGAATTAGATGTTGTTCATTGGATAGATTTGAATTGAATAAATATCAAGGCTGTCAATATTTGTAACAATTTGTAGGCTGCAAGAGAAAATTACAATTTGGATTTTCTTTCGAAATGACAATTTCATTGACTTGTAAACTTATCCGATTGTTTTCAAATTTCTGTAACTTTGTTAAAAACTTCCATTTCCAAGGGGGATGATGAACTTTTTCAACAGTGAGTACAATGTCAAAAGCGCTGCCTTCTGTCTTTTCCCCCCTTCAAAATTAACCACCTTTGTGGTAATACCTTTTCTAGTGACTTCTCCTAAGTAGGATCTTTCTATAGGACTTGTCACCACTGTATGGGATGATAGTAGGCAATCTAGTCTTCGTCTAACATTTTAACTTATCTGATTGTTGCCAACAGGGGAAAGTGCCGCTTATAACTGTTGATGGACTGCATCAATTACACATCCTCATATTCTTCTTAGCAGTCTTCATGTGGTATACAGTGCCGTTACTATGGCACTTGGGAGATTAAAGGTATGTTGAAAAGCTGGAACCTTTTTATTTATTTTATGTTTCTATATTTCAACTGATATCCTATATATATAGGAGACACTACTGTTTAAGGAAGTGAGACGCATACTGGGGGCCTGAACTCAACATTTGAACCTTCTTATCTCATTGAAATACATTTTTTTTGTTTGTCTCAAGCCTTCAAAAGTATTTAGTTGCTGTGTCACCCAAATTGTTGTTTAAGCAATATGAAATTCTTTACGATATCATTTCCCATGAATTAGTTGGGGAATGCCTGTCCAAACAATGTTTGTTAATGTCACTTTTCAAGGTGGCTTATGTCTGGCATCTTACTTGTAGAAATGGTTTTGAGAGGACCACCAGCTAGTGGATCAGAAAGATTTGGATAAAATGTCCTACTCCTGCCTAAGCTTTCTGATCAACGAATCCCCTAGCTCATGATATGGAGTACCCAAATCAAGCTAAGCTGAGCTGGTTAGCAGCTTCAGCAGTGGGTCGAAAAATTAATGAGGCCTAGACAACCTTGAGCTTTGCTTATTTGTTTTGTGAATTTACGCTGCTCCCACCTTGAAATTCTATAGAACCCATATCTAGCTTGACTCAACAAACTAAACTGGACGCGGAATTGGTTTCATGCTAGAAAGTTCCAAGCCATAGAGGAAAGGGAAATGCGTGGTGAATTGGATTGACAGCACACCGGGGAGAGTTGTTTGCCGAGTGCCAACATAGTTGTTCTGTAGCATGCAATTACTACTCCAAATGCCAGACTTATTCTACCTTGAGTAATAAATAATTGTTTGCTGAAACTGATATTATGCAGATTCGTGGCTGGAAGCAGTGGGAGGAGGAGACTTCATCCCATGACTATGAGTTTTCCAATGGTATATCATTGCTACAAGTAGAATATATTAATCCTTCACTTTCTAGCTTGAATTTAATTTTCTATTTCTCAGTCCTGAAGTCAGGGCTCTCAATGAAATATCTTTACCCCTCAATTGGTACATGCAGATACTTCGAGATTCAGGCTTTCACATGAGACATCTTTTGTGAGAGCACATACCAGCTTTTGGACCAGGATTCCATTATTATTTTACATCGTAAGAGACCTATTCTCTGGTTTGTTGATCTTCAATTTTCATGTAAATTTGCAATCCCTTCGATAAGGTGAAAGAACAAATAGCTAGATGGTGACGAGTGCGAGTGGGATAGCAACTTTCAGCAATGAACTAAATTATTCATCTCTTGCAGGGATGCTTCTTTCGACAATTTTTCAAGTCTGTTAGCAAGTCTGACTACTTGACCTTGCGGATGATGGATTCATCACACTGTGAGTCCCAATTGCACGTATTTCTGTAATTTAATGTTTTTTAATCTTTTTCTCCTCTTTCTTTTTTTTTTTCCACTTTTATGAATTAAGCTGTTCTATAGGTCCATTTGGCCCCCGGAAGTAAATTTAACTTCCAACAGTATATCAAGAGGTCATTGGAGGATGACTTCAAGACAGTTGTGGGAGTCAGGTAATGGTCCTTCTATTGGATGCACTGTTTTTTTGACTTGCATTCGAAGAATTATCCTGACTTAGTTCTTTATTGTTGGCAGTCCGGTGTTATGGGTATCATTTGTGGTTTTCTTGCTTCTAAATGTTGATGGTGAGTCACTTTTTCATTGAAAATATGTTTCTATTAAAATCATTTTCGAATTCCAACTGAAACAGAAATTGGGATTCTTACTAAGATAGTATGAATCTTTTCAGGGGTGGAGAGCATTGTTTGGGCGTCCTTAATTCCTATGATCGTAAGGATCCTTTTTGGTTGTGTAATTCACCGATTAATAGGAACGATAAATAATTCTTTGTTACTTGTTCTCAGTTAATCTTAGCTGTGGGAACCAAAGCTTCAAGCTATTTGACAAAGATGGCTCTTGAAATCACTGAAAGGCATGCAGTGTTCCAAGGGAATGCCTCTTGTGCAAGGGTCAGACAAGTATTTTTGGTTTTGGTCGGCCCCAGTTAGTTCTTGATATTATCCACTTTGCTTTATTTCAGGTATTGATGACCTGCCTTTTCGATAATTATAGATCTAAATGGTCTTTAGCTAAATCTAGATGAGTAGAATATCGCCATGGTCATGTTTTTCAAGTTCAGCATTCTTGTCCAGTTCTTTAGACTGATTAAAAATGTCGCATCTATTGATTCAATGGGCTTGGACCGGTAATTCCATCAAAGCACCTTTGACCTTCCCTAGTTTCGAATCTAGTCTCAGCATCAATCCTCTTCGAGGGTATCTTTCATATCTTAGAGGACACTTTGAAAGCCCAAAAATTAGCTGTAGTGCTTTTATAGCATCAGATCCGGGATGGGGGTCAGTTTTAGCAGGGTAGATGTCCCTATATTTATTTAAAAAAAATATCAAGAAAAAATATGTTTTCTTTTTTTGTCTATGATCAGTAAAAACAAGATTTGGGCATTCAGACGTATAGAGAGACAATTTTTCTACAGCTGATTCATTTGCTTGAACGTTCTTGTGGAGCTCATGTACTCAAGTCCATTAAGCAGCTAATCCTGATTCAGAGCCGCTAAAAATAGAATTTTCCTTCTGCACTCAACAGTCTACATGTTATTTATAATCTTTATTTATTTTGCACTTTTTTTCTTTCTGTGGTTTTCCCTACTCTTCGCAATCTAATCAGCTTTATGGTGCTTGCAGAATGCATTCCAAGTAACATACTTTTTGTGGATATGGGTAATGAATTGTTTTCTATGTTCAGATATCCAATATCTTAGGTTATTATTTTGATAATTCTTAACACTTAGAGATGAAACTGATAAATATTTCCCTACGGTGCAGTACGAGTATGGGCTGAAAGCTTGCTTCCATGATAATTTCGGGCTGTTAATGCGAAAATTGCTCTAGGGTATGCCTTTTTGTTCCCCAAATTTCACAATAGAATTAGCTACATTGTTCATGGACATTACTACTCAGGTTCTAGACTTTGAACTAATTGAATGTAACTTCTGTTGTGATTTGCACAGGTGCGCAGTCCTAGTTTTATGCAGCTATATTACGCTTCCACTATATGCCTTATAGTTCAGGTACCATCACTGTTTTATGCTACTTTTACCTAAATCTCACGCATTTAGGAGGTAAGAGTCAGCTCTTTCTAGTAGAGGTGAAACTATACTAAGATAACTGTTGTAAAGAATATTAACCTTGTATCAGATGCTGCATCGTCATGCATTCAGCTACCGTTTTGTGATATAATACTATATCAAATCAATTATACCAAATATCAATACGGCACAAAAGTTTTGGTGTTCCTAGAGAATTCTCTCATAAGTGTCAAAAACGTCTAAGGATGATCTGTCTTGTAGCTTGATTGTGTCTGCAAATTTGTTTAGTTGGCTGATGATTGTCCTGTTGGAAATTCACAGATGGGTCACACATGAAGAAATCTATCTTTGATGAACAAAACATCCAAGGCCCTTGAGAAGTGGGCGAATGGCTGTTAAGAAGAAAAAAGGGAAAGGCCGGAAAGTCCCATACTCGAACTCTTGGTCAAGCAAGCCCTGATTTGTCGATGGGTTCAACTGTGAACTCCTCTGGAGCCACCCTTCATCGCTTCAAGACCACAGGTCACTCCCAACTTTATGCACACGAGGACCAGGAGATGTCTGATATGGAAGC